CCAACTCCAAAACATGGCTTATGTATAAATCATTTTAATCCGAAACAAGTTATGAAAGAAAGTATACGCGCAGGTATGTATATATTCAAAATATTAACTTAATACATTTGTGTATGAAATATATATAGTTCTATTTAATTTTATGTTTTATGTGAATTTGCAGGATACGAGCTTCAGTCTACACGTTTACGACATGGGACTGTTCCTTCTATTTTTTCTTGGCAGAGTAAATTTCAGGAACATGTTAATGTGAAAGAAAAAGAAAATGAGAGGGATAATACAGAAGACTTTACACCAGTCATATCTGAAGCGTCAAACAATATACAAGATGATAGTCTCCAGCAAGGTCAAAATTCTGATACAACTGGATTTTTCACGGATAAAAATGTATCAACGCCTTTAAATGAAGAAACTCATATTTCTGTGGAAGTTTATAATTATGCTGAAATGGCGCTTTTGACAAGCAATATAAATGTTTATGAAGAAAGTATTAGTTGCGATTACGTGCAAAATGAAAACTGTTCAACGAACGATACTGAACAGTGTAATGATAAAGAAGCTTGCAGCTTTGCAACAACTGCGACTCAAACAGATTCAGCTTCTCGTTATAGTATTGAGCAGTTTAAAAATAATCCAAAATCATTTTTACATTTAACCGGATTAGAAAACTATGATAAATTCATGACAGTGTTATACTCCCTAGGACCAGCAGTGTATTATTTAAAGTACGCAAGAGGACAAGCAGTAGGAAATATATCAGTGCCAAATCAGTTGTTTCTGGTGTTGTGGAAATTAAGAAGAAATTGCTGCGATATTGAACTGTCAGAGCACTTTTCTATTCCTAGACTAGCTGTAGGAAACATCTTTCACACATGGATAACTTTTATGGCAAAGCAATGGTCTCTAATTGATATATGGCCTAGTAGACAACTAGTCGACTATTACATGCCAGAAAGTTTTAAACAACACTATCCCTCCACAAGAGTTATCATTGATGGAACTGAAATTCGAGTTGACAAGCCACATAATCCACGTTTACAGCAATCATCATTCAGCACATACAAAAATGGTCCTACTGTTAAAACTGTCATTGGCTCTACTCCGGGTGGTTTAATTTCATACCATTCTCCAGCATATGGAGGTTCAACTAGCGATAGACAGATTATTGAACGGAGTGATTTGATGAAAAAGTGCGATTCTGGTGATTTAATTCTGGCTGATCGAGGGTTTGTAGTACAAGACATTTTTTGCACCACACAATATTACTGTTGCTACACCTACTTTTACAAAA